ACAGAAATTATAACACTGTCATGCCGAAGAATTACAAATTTTGTTCTTTTTTCAATTGTGGGCCTATGTATTAAGTTACGTAGGTGTTGAAGTATATATTTCTGCTAAATACTTCTGCTTAAACTCTTTGAGAATTTTTAACTTCCCGTAGGGCAAGTTATAGTAATCGCAAAAAAAACGAAAATGAAAATTTTTATAGATCTTACGTTTTAAAGGTTTCTGAACATTTTGGCATACCTTAGAAAAAATGAATGTATGTGCGGATACAAATTTTCATCGACAATTTCGGGAACACGGATCAACCGATTTGAATATTTCAAAAAACATTCGATTCGTATTGATGAGGAGACGTGCTGATTTTTGGCGAAGGCAGGTCTAGCCGTTCCGAAGATAAGGGGCAAAAAGTGCCGAAAACGGTAACTCAGTTTTTAAGCGGACGGAGCGTCCGATTTGAATAATTCAAAAAACATTTTATTTGTATTGACTAAATGAAAAACTGTTCAAATTTTTGGGAAGGCAGGTCAAACAACTTTGAAGATATGGAGGAAAAAGTAAAAAAATGAGCCATTTGGCGACCAAAAATGATCATTAGACATATGCACTTCAAATTATCAGATGATTTATAGAGATTTTAATAATAAGTATAAATTTTGTTTGCATTCCTATGGGTTCCGTACCAATGCTTATCCATTAGACGGCGACGCGGCGCTTACGCACTTTGATATTTTGTCTCTATGCAGTTAAAGCAGTACGATTGCTTTAAAAAAAAATTCAGAATTTCCAAAATATGTCATAATAAAGAAAACTTTTTTTTTTCAAAAATGTAATTTTTTGTCAAATTCCTATAGTTTGTCAAAAATATAATTTTTTCGAAGTAAAATTTTTTCAAAAATGTTAATCGTTTTTGAAAAAATAATAATATTTGGTACGGGAAGTTGCAGCAATTTGCCTTAAGGCACGATGCCTTAATTGCCTTAAGACAGAATTCCACTTACAGCTAGTTCAAAAATTTCATTTCATATGAATATACTTAGAAATCGAATTTTACAGAATTTTTCAGCAAAATGATGATACAATGTGTACTTGCAACAGTAGAATAGTGCGTCCGACATTATTAGCTGTAGACGTAGCTGTGACGTCAATGTTTCGTCTCGCGCGTAGCGAGCTTTTAATGCGAGTCCGACATGTACCGAGCTACCGAAAGCTTTCGAGAGCACGGCATTGTTAATCAGAGCGATGAGTGCACACAATTTCGATGTCGGAGATACGTGCTCGTTTTAATGTTTACACGAACTGAATATTTTAAACAGGCAAATACGGGAAATGTTTTTATGTTGATTTGTTACAGGTAAATTTGTTAAATATGTATTCATGACTTGTAAATGGTTTTTTGGTTTTTTATTCAGATTGTCTATTATCAATCTCGTGAAATAGTAAATGTTACGTTCATTTTAATTAAACTTGCTCAAATTAAAGAAAAACCGGTCACTTGACTGATATTGAAAAAAATAAATGCATTTTTATGTTAATGATTTTATGTAAATGATTATGAACTACACTAGCTAAGCACATTATATCATTATCATATATGTAAATATTTGACTATATATGTGTGTATATATATATATATATATATATATATATTTTTTTAAGGCTGTCCCGTGAACTTTGCTGAACTTCAACTCGAATCAAGAAAGTTTAATGTCAAAGGTTTCCTATTGCCATTTTACACCTCATTTCCTCAGCTATTTTCAATATACGACATTTTGTGCCATTGCAAGGTTTGACTTGATTGAAGATGTCGAAATAAGGACATGGATATTTGTACCAAAAATATTATCTTTTTCTATAAGCATATAATATATATTATATTATGCAAATTTTAGTTATGATCGTTCTAGTTAAAATTGTTCAATTTGGTAAAGATTTGATCCAGACTCTTCGGTAATCAACTCGAGATTATCCGAAATACCTGTAGATTACTAAAAGTAGTGAATCTGATCAGAAGCAAAAAAATAATTACGAAATTAAAGAGAAGAAATTAAATAAGAAAGTAATGGATAGTTTAATTTACTCTTTACGATAACAGTAAATCAATTACACTTCGCACTATTCAACTACATTATTTGAATTATATTTATTGGGATCTAAATTTTCTCTGGTCATTTACTACTTTTCAATATGATTGATTCTCACTAATATCTATCCATATCTTTATATATTTATTACATCTAAAACTTTGTAAACACATTTCTCAAAGCTTAATTTTACACAATGATATAAAATTAATTAAATACTTATATGTTTCTGTATTTGATAATAATGTATATAGATTAAAAGGTTTCTTAATATTCTTGTTTCTATATCTTGTTAATTAAGTTCAATCGTTGATTATAGTAAGTTATGCATTCTAGAATAATGTGTACTATATAACTACATGATCTCGCCACAATTAGCAACAATATTTTTTTCATATAATCAAAATTTTAAGCATTACTAAAATTCTTGAAATTTTATGAGTTTAGAGAAAAAATAGATCGACAATTTTACATTTGCAATATATATCATAGCACTAATATTTATGGTAAAACATGTAAAGCATAAAAACTTTCTACTTTTATTCAGTGTGTTTATTTTTTGACATGTATTTAAAGGTACATATTTATTTTGATATATCTATTCATCTTTAATTATAACTTAAATATAATTTTATTATTAACTGCGTTAAAATAAGAATTCAATCTAGAATGGGATTTTTGAATACTTGTCATATATTATATAGAATACATGTGCTATATATATATATATATATATATATATATATATATATATGTATATATAATATGTTAACTAGGCATTGATTTATATAATAATTTAATATTTTATTATTTAATGTGGAAAAATATAGACAAAAGCTATATAAAAGTATCTTTTATATACCTTTAATACAATTTTGAGATTTTTCTTGAATCTTTTGATTCCGTGTAAGTAATATTAGATGTCGTTAAATATATCATCTGAATATGCTTATATATGAATATATATATATATATATTATATATATATATATATATATATATATATATATTTAGCTTAGCTAAGGTAAAAGCCAAAAGCTCGCGTATTTGGTACAATAAAATATCTTCACTTCCAATTCAATTATGAAGGAAGCGTTATCATATCATAAAGCGAGGTCGCAATATATATTGTCTTTTATTAAGCGAAATGAGAAGATTGGGTTATGGAAAAAATGTCTTATACAATACACCCGGTTTCATCACTATGGCCGGATGATTTGTAGAAAACATGGCCTAATTTCGTCCTTAAATATGAGAAGTCCATTGAACATTGACTCTTCATATATATGTCATTGTTAATTTTGTTCAATGTTAATTAGATATATTGTTCAATTCATCAAAATTAATTTCGTTAATCACGAAAAATGCATATAGTCCACAAGAAATTGGAAAATTATAATGTGCATTGCCAAACCGATTAAGTTAATTCTACGAAAAGCAAGCTTTCTGAATAGAAACTTACTAATGCGGTATTTGGACTGTGTACCCTAGATTTGAGTTCTATAAAATTTAGAAAAAAAATTTGATTGAAACGTATTTAAATACATTGTTGCAATAGAATGAAAAATATAAAATTGATGGATGAACTCAGAAGGAATCTAACGAAGAATTAAAAGCTCAAATGGACTTGGATTTATACACGCAAAGCTAAAGTTGCAAACAAAAAGTTTTAGAACTTTACTAGTTTTAGAATGTGAATAAGGAAGTAAAAATACGATCAATGATTGCTTGCACTCTTTTGTACTCTTTTTTTTAAATAATTGCTACTATCTCAAACCCAATATATGTATTATTAAAACATAAATATTTATCGGTCATTGATCGTGATTACATCGCTATTGTAATTGAGGGAAATGTTAGGGAAAATTTCATGCACCCGACCTTCATTATTGAAAACTGATTTATTGATAACGCACGTGTAAGAAGTCGAAATCAATTTGGTACCGGTGATTGGTTACACGGTTTGTTGGCTTCAATAAAACGACTTTTTCAATGTTAAAAATAAAAGCAATTTCTGAAATCATACATATTCTGTTTTATATATATATATAAAGCTACATTTTGAATTAAGAAAAATGTTATCCAGTCAAATTTAATTTCAAACAATGCCAATTGAATTAGAAGGAAATTTCTTAGGCTTCGATAATGTTAATTATTTGATTCAAAACAAGTAAATATTTTATGTAGATAACTACGGTTAAATAGGTATTAAGTTACGAGTTTTCCAATATTCATTTCACATTTTTAACGATAGTATCACCATACTATCGTGTTTGTTTCGTTTTATTACATTATATCGCATTCATAACTATATAAAGTTCAGATTATATATTCTTATATAGTGCAAAATCTTGTTGCAAAATGTATTTATTATTGTCATAAACTTATTTCAGCAGGAAAAAAACATATAATACATTGGAATTATGTTTACTTTCAAGCATCTTGAGGAAAGATCCCTAATAATCAGATCCAATTATGTGAATAATATCTTTATAAATGATAATACGCATTTCCCTAGTACATTATTTCATTTAGTATGGCTTCTGGAAAAACAATCTGCAATTGATCCTATATGGTCTAATTATCAATTAGTATGGTTAAAGTCGATTTTCTTGGTAGAAATGGTACTCCTACTTTCAAAACGTTAACAATTTCTTGTTATGCAAAATTAAATTTTAACGAGCCATTCCAGTATCATGCAATACCCAATTAAATTCAATTTTGCGGTTTAATATCACATTTCTATCTAACAATACGTATCAATGCTATAATATTCAACATAACAAAGCCATTTATCAAATATCAAAAGGTCGATCGAATGGTGTTTTATGTGAAGCATTTTTATATCACACGTTGTGAAAATATTCTATATAATGTGATTTTATATAATATAAAGGATAATATGATAGTTGTGTAACTCACCTGTTCTTGTTGTTGAATGGCGCCAAGGTCTTCATCTGAAATTGAAAAATAAATCATTGTAGTAATATTTTATTAATAATGATCTATTTCAAATTTCATTTTTTTAAATAAATATGTTTTATAAAATGCATTTATTTATATAAAATTCAAAAACGGTCAAGATAATTTGAGCTTATGTTAGTTTAAATATTTATCAAAATATGAATGTTATTGAAGTAAATTAGAGAAAGTGAGCAACCGTCTTTTGGGGTGTGGTTCCATTTACATATAATGCATTTAATGTATTTGTTTTATCAAATTGATAACATTATAAAACATCTCCAGAAAAAATCCAGTAAGTTCAAATTATTGTTAACTTTTAATGGGGCTATGTAACGTTTTATTAACAAGGAGTAAAGTTATAAATTTTTTTGTCCACATTTTTTCAAAAAGTGTTTTCCATAAATTAATCTAGTTTCTGCAAGTTATTTTTTTTTCATTATTATATCAAGTTTGAGCAAGCAATGGTATTTTTTTTTATTGTAATAAAAAATAGTAAATAGCGTAATTAATCACATACCTAATTTATACAATTATTAGTTTGCGTTAGAAAAAGAAGTGACTAATCTTAATAACTCATTCTATCTAAAGTATTTACTTAAACTACATGAAAATGATACAGTTTTGTATTTATAGTTATATAAATGTAGTTAAAAACTAGTGGTGTATGGCATCGTGCCTTAAGGCAAATTGCTGGAACTTTCCGTACCGTAACGAAATGTTCGAGGAATATTAAATGTTTTCAAATAGATTAATATAAATACTGTAACATTGTCTAATAATTATAAGAGTAATATGAACTGAATCACAAAATCAAAAATATTCATATAAAGTATATAAGTGAGCTTTAAAACTTTAGCCAGGATTAAAATTGAAATCTGAATTATTTTCGATATACAAAAAAATGATTTTTTTTCAAAAGCAATTGTTTTGTCAAAACAAGCAGAAAGTTTTTTAAATCATTCAATTCGGATGCTTATTTTTCTCAAAAACTTCCTTTTTTGTACATTTAGCTCTGTATCTTCGAAATGACTGGGCCTGCCTTTGCCAAAAAACTAGTAACCACTTCTCCCAATCATTACTAATTGCATGTTTTTTAGATCATTCAAATCAGATGCTCCGTTCTCTCAAAATCTCGATTTCTATTTTCTGCACTCTTTGCTCTTTATCTCCGTAACGGCTGGACATGCCTTTGCCAAAAACTAATCAGCACATCTCCCTATCAATAGGAATCGAATGATTTTTGAACACACAAAACACACACACACATCAATTTTTTCTGAGATATGCCAAAATGTTCAAAAACCTTCAAATGCCAATATGTTCAAAAACCTTCGAGAAATGCAAAAATTTTCATTTTCGATTTTCGGCACATTACTATAACTACACTACGGGAAGTTAATAAGGAGAGCTCCAAAATAAAACAAACATTTGTTCCTTGTGATTTTGTGATATTTATGAAATACTTGCAAATTTTAAATGACATTTTTAATTATTATTAGTTGAATAATATAATTATTATAATGAAATAGCAATCAGAAACAAAAAAATTCTATAAGCTATTGTGGTGAATTTTGAAACTCCAGTAAAAATGCTGGTGGAGGTCACCCCAGTGGGTTACTCCATTAGCAAATATTTTATATAATATATTTATATTTAATATAAAGTCTCAAATATTCGGCTTCTGCCTAATTTCATGAATTATCCAACGTGTAATCTGTCGGGATTCCTCTTTTGTCCATTTTGTATTAATTGAGTGAATATATTTTCAGTATCATTTAAGGCGAATCTAATTAGAAACGGAATCAGTTTGATCAATACGTGCCTCGAGGTCATTATATTTAGTCTGCTTCTTCGTGTAAATTTACATTCAAAATCTTTATTCCCGGTTACCATCACGATATTATTCCGCACAGTTCAGAACACAAATCAGATTATCAAATGCGTCACGTTTAATCTGTAATCGATATTGAAATGCGCGTTTTGGAGAAAACAATTGTATAAAACAACATATTTTGATCAAAAACCGTTGAGTATTTATCGCGGAATCGATTTGTTACGCTCGCAGAATTCGAATACTGGATGAGTTTGATAAACAAAGGATTTGATCAAAATTATTTCCGCCAGAACACGCACTCATATGTTTTATCAGCGATTCAGCAACGATATGCACTAGCGCTTCTTTGAAGTTTATCAGGTTATATAACTTTAGTAAACGGATCAATTTGGAAATATTTTATTTATTTTTGAAGAGGAATCATAACTTTGTATTCTATCACTCTATCATAAATATATATTTACTACAAATTGGTATTAGTGTTGCTATGTCTAGATGGCGATGCTGTATTGTATGAATGATAGTATGGGTATGGATCTATATAAGATTGGAATAGCTGATAAGAAAAATGAATGAAAAATGTATAATGGCAGGAGCAGTTATAGAGAGATATAGTAAGCTACCATGCATATAAGGAGAAAGTTATTGAATATAGAGACGAATAGAGTAATAGAGAGGGTAGTTAGAGGTAATGAAGGAGTAGTTAATAAAAAGATGAAGTGTATTAACATAGATACGTTAACATTAGTATTTTTATTTTTCTGCTTAAAAATATACTATTATTCATATTATAGTGCAATTGGATATAATTACTGCTTGATGTCGGCAGTATCACATTATAAAACTTTTATTCTGTAGTTTCCAGCCTTTGAGGCGCGCAGAGACTGTTACAAGGGGGGCGTACAACTGTTACCAAAATACTATTACCGAAAATAAATAGAAAATAATTATGCATATTTTATTTTTATTAACATTGGATATTAGTGATCATGAAATGAATGAAATTGTGAGAAAAATTAAGGAGAGCACAACTTTTTTTTTATTAGAATGAGGGGGAGTCGCGGTGTGAAAGGGGTTGGAAACTACTGCTTTATTGCTTAACCAGTTTTAAATTACTTTTATCATTTTTCTATTATATACTACAATGCTTAGCTTTCCTGTTAATATTTAGTATTTCATGGAAAATTTCTTATTTATAAATTTATAAAGCAACTAAGCAATGAATACTGAAATGTCGAGTTTATCTCCGGATCACGAAGAGCTTTAAAGGAATAATTAGAATTTCTATTTTGAATTTCACACCTTACATATTCATAATGTTTTTGTTTCCCTTATTTTATCATTTCTCTTAGGAAATATATTTTCTATTTATATCATTATCTTGAAAAAAAATTTCTTAACTAGACTTATGATATTTTATTTATGATTATAATAATAATATATTATTGATTTTTAACTTTTGTTATATATATCACTTCTTTTTTGTCAACGATTTAATAATGATTTCATGTATTCTATACTAAAACGCTTTCATTCTCCACTTTAAAAATTTTAAATTATTTTAAATGTGAATATTTTAAATTTAAAAAAAAATCAGGAAATAAAATATTTAGAAACTCTCGCAGGTTTCATAATTTAAAAACATTTGTTTCTTTTAATATTTATGAGCTACGTTATAATTTTAAATGAGATTTTTATTTTTAGATACGTCTGGATCAATATATTTAGATTTTTCTATGAATAAAGAGTTAAAATCGTTTAATGTTTTATAAGCAATATTGACTTCGTGTACTGAAATGAAAGTATAATAGATCGAAAAATCAAAATACTTGTAATTTCTATGCGTTTGGTAAACTCATGATCAACTTTTTTCAAACTTCTAAGGCTACTTTATATGATCAAATGATAAAGTGAATTGTTGTTAATTGTTTTAAAACTAATTATTTCAAATTTAAATTTATATTTAAAATAATTTATAGAAGCATTTTGAGTACTAGTCATCTTAGTATGTAAATATAATTCTAGTAATAAATTAAGTTTAATAATATCCTTTAGTCTGATAATATTATCTTAACTAAACAATATTCACAAAGTTTCACATATCGTAAATGACATAAGTTAATCATAATCTACGAAAATGCTTTTCGTAAAGGTCATTAACTGGAAGGCTGTCGGATATATTCGGGATATATTCAGTAAGAAATTTGTCATTGTGGGAGAGTTGGTAACGATTTTAGCAAACTAGATTTAAGATTATAGATAAATCAAACAAAAAAAATTATTTAAATTAATTATGAACTGAAAGCGACAATTTTGAAAATAATTATACTAAAAGGAATTTGCACTCTTCATAGTATTACTTAAATTTGGTTTCAGAAGTCCAGTTCATCTATTGTTTTGGTATCCAAATATATTAAAATATTAAGGATTTGCATTTTTTTCATTTTACTAGATTAAATCACAATCTGTATTTTTGAAGTAAAACTTCTTTAGGCGCGATATGGGTGTAAAAATTTCTTTAGGCTACACGGGTGTAAATCCGTACAAATGCAACGAAAACGCCAACGTGAAGTTGAACACTACGACGCCGTAAGCGCTGATGTCGCGAGTATCCACTCATATCGCGTCATGTCATGCGTAAGTCGAGCGCTAAACCCTATATGAACTTGCATTAATTGAATCACGTTTTTTATGTAATGTCCTCATGGAATAAGACTTTTCTTAGAGAATAAATGTGTCATGGAATATAATAAATTTATACTGAATCTCGTTGAAGACAAAATATATCTACTGCCACGGATATTTATGTAGGTTGCCATGCGACAGATCAACAATCATACATTCGTCAGCAGTTTCACAAAAATCGGTTATTGATACCGGGGGTTTGCCGTATGAAATAATTTTAGTTCTGAATAAATTTTACATAATAACAACTAATATTGATGTGAGTGGTGGCTTATGGTTGTGTAGGAAAATTAGTGTACATAGAACGTGGCGATAATGATGAACTTCTACGTTTATGGTTTGATTTCCTGGTAAGATAGGTAACAAAATTAGAAAGAAAGCTGCACACATCATATTCAAACTCTTAATATCAGTAGGACAGTTGTGCCGATTCTCAGGAGATCTTCATCTATTCCAATGAATAGAAATAAAATC